ACAAATTCACACAAACCATTGCACCATGTAACACTAAACAATGGTAGCACATTCACTCCTGGAGATTTTAAATACATCTGAAATCTAGAACTAAAATTGGGAAGCACTTCTGTTTTGCACAGGGCTATAAGTGCCTGGAAAAACAATGCTCATCCAAGTTGATTCCCTGGGATCCAAGCAAAAGTTACTACATTAGTAACCAAAATGGGCAGAATGGCCTTCTCTGATCTCCTAACTTAACTGTCCTTAATATCAGAACACATCAGGGAAATAACTTATTTCAAGAAACAGTGGGATTAAATCTTTGGATCAAATGATAACTAACTACCAAGTCAAGGCTAGATGGGTGAATAGCCTCCACTAGTTTGTAACTGTTCTTGTGTGGGATCCTATGAGAAATGGCTAAATGGGATTCTTGGATCACAGAGCTATCAGCAACCAAATAAACAAGATGGGCAGCAAGAGGAAGAAATGTGTAGGCTAACAGTATGAAAGTCACTGAAGACATTAAGGTAGATAAGAAGATAGACTGCTGGGAAGAAGCCAGTGAAACAAGAGCCCGCTCTAATACTACTACAAAATATTTAATGATGCAAGGGACCAAAATTTCTCCTCTCATTTATAACCCTTCAAATGTTCTTCCCTTGGTTGAACAAATCTTGCATCTAGTCTGTGAGAAAGTGTGTGATTATAAGTCTTTACAATAGGAAATATCTGGCCCAGTGCAGATAACATGCCATCTGCCGCAGCTACAGAGAGCTGCAGTTAACGAAGACAATAAAACAATAATATAACATACAGTATACTGTATGATATGCTTATGTTATAAAAAGTACTGCAATATACAGTATGCCTAATTTACAACAACTTTGCATTTAACTTGGCAGTAGCTATGGTTCTAATATATTTACTGTATCCAGAGAAATGGTAGTTTACTGCCAAGAAAAATATTGACAGCTTAGGAAACATATCAACAAGCACCCATAGTACAAGAACACTACAGTAGTATTTAAAAGCAAAATATGGTACCTACCACTTATACCACCCACTGTTATTGAAAGCAGCTGTTTGTATTGGCAGTTAATGTGAGCTTTTTGTACCATTTCCACCAGTGTCAATGGCAAAGGCATTACTTACATTAAATTAGTAGCTCCAGCTATGTCAGGCAGATATAACACAGATAATGTCTACGGACCACTTGTTGTTAAATAAACATTATATATACACTGTATATATACACCGTATATGGTTATATCTATAAAATATATGCATACAGTACTGTATGTGTTGTAATGCCTGAGCTTAACTTTTCTGGTTATGCTTACAAGAAATGTACATTTCTGCTTCATACCTAAGCATTGTATTTTCTTTCAATGCTTCCCCTACACAGTCTTGATGAGAAAACAGACTAATCACCTACCCCCATTATCCATATCATGGAGAACTTAATGCAACCCAACATTATGTATAGTGTATGTTACTACTACCATTGTACAACAGATCATTTTGCACTTATGAATGTTAAATTTCATTTCAAGTGTCTGTCCTTGCAAGTCGTTCAGTTGGCCTCTCCTGTCTTCAAATCATCTGCACATTAACTCTAGTTAATGCCAGACTCCAAGTGGGTTATGTAGCTCAAGAAGAGTAGAGGACCTAAAATGAATCCCTGTGGCACACCACTGCTTACATCTATCCAATTAAAAGTAATGACTTTTAAGATAATGCACTGTTAATGGATCTGATCATTTGTGTTAATGCAGACATCACCTTGGATTTTTATGCCTTTTTTATTTGAGAATTACCTTTTTATTATTATTACTTATTAAATGCCTTCTGGAAATCTAAACATATCAGGTATGAGCTCTAGTTTTAATCTATAGTCTTTTTTGGGAGAATTCAAGCACGTTAAGGTGTTCCTTTACTAATTCCATGTTGGTGGTCTCTTCATATGCCGTTGTTTGTCTAATTCACCTCTACTTATCGTTATCAATAACTGACTTTTTTATTGTCTCATGATTCAGTTTTGTCTTCTTTTTGTGAATTAATACTACATATGCAATTCTCCAAAATGTGGCTATTGCTCACAATCTCAGTGCGAGTTGTCTTGTCTATGAATAACATCCCCCTTTTTCTAGGAAAATACCATTAAGCCCCAGTAATATATTAGTTCTTAGCCATCCTGGCCCATATAGGGACTAGGGTCTTTAGCATACTATAACATACACACTTCGTAAAAAGCTGTGTGATTCTGATACAGCATGCTTTGTTTCTTTATCATCTTCTTATTAGCCATCTTTTCAATCACAAACTGTTTACTGATATGAACAATACGAATGATTATGGTTTTACAGTTTTGCAGTTCTTTTGCTGTTGAACTAAAAAAAATATTTACCTCTCTGTTGCAATATTATGTTTTGTCTCCCAAATGGCAATTCTGATGTTTTCTTTTTTCCACCTGTAACTCAGTACATTTTTTCTGTCTTTGAGTCTTAGATTGTTACACCGTCTCTAGAGCATTGTTTCAGATTTTTGTCTTTAATTTTTACATGCAACCATCTATGCAATCATTGCGTTTATCTATACTTAATTGTTTAAGGAAACAATTTGTTTTGGGCCTTGGCATTGTATTTCTAAAGTATTCTAGCAATTCCGTTCTACTTTTCTTTCCTTTATGGTCTCCTTTTCTAAAATCATAAACTCTAATTTTAGAGCTTTATACTTCCAATTTCAGATTATATGTTCTTTACTGCAATATCTCAATTTTATTTTGAAAAGTTGTAAAAGTAAAAAAAAACAATCTTTGCTAATACCTTATGTCTTTGTGCAGTAGCCAATGTGCAAACATCTACTTTAGGTCATGTATAGCACAAACCTAATTTTAACATCTTAAAAAATATAAAAATCTACTTTGTCTCATATAGATTCTAAACTGTCCATTTCCCCTACCTTCATTCAGTTCTCTAATTTGCAGTTTATAATATCTACAGTATATAGACTCACACCACCTTGCTTTCTATCCTGACTGTCATGCTAACAATGTTTACCCATCATCCTCCCCAACCATGTTTCAGTTATTTCAAAAGGTCATATATTTCTGTTCATGCAGTTGCCTGCTTTTTATACCTTATACTTCTGGCATTAAAGTATATTTTAAAAGAAACTCATCACTCTATTTAAACAAAAATAAATTACATGGATTTAAAGTACTGATTACATTTTTTACATGATTTTGATTAACTGATCATTCATGACTGCTACACTCGAGTGACTGTGGCTTACATCAGCAAGAAATCACCTCACCAGTGAAAGAGATGATTGGACACAAGTGATGAGGTGGTTTAAACTGTTGAATGTCGAGGCTGGTGGAATTCAAGAAAGGAAAACACAGAAAAGATTAAATATGCCCTGCTTATTAAGAGAACAATGCCTACATTCCTTTGAAATACTGGAGCAACACCCCAGTTGGACTCACCAGCAATTGTGATAAGTGCTCTTTAGTGATAAATCGAGGCTTTGTGTGAACCATCCTGATGGACAAAGATAAGTCTGGCACAGATGTGCAGAATAACAGGTTAATTATTCTTTACAACTGAGCAGGCAATGAGGAGATCTAAGTGTGATGGTCTAGGCAGGAGTGCCTTACCACTACAGTATAGAGTAGGGTTTGGGGGCAACAAAACTGCAGGATGTTGAACTGATCAAGTCGTGGACCCTTCACTTCCTTGCCCTTCCTGCTAGCTCATCTCAAAGAGACAACATTCAAGCAGGATAGCACACTTCCTCATGCTAACTACGTATATAGCAGTAGCTTCTTGTGAGATATAAATTTAATAGTGGTGTTGTAGATGCTCTCCTCATCAGATTTTAGACTCACTTAATATCTGTTGAACTAACTGGACAATGTGTGACATCTAAGGCTCAGAGATAAATGAACAAGTACCATCTTGTACAGGCTCTACTAGTAGAATGGACTGAATTTCTCAAGACTAGTCTGTGATGTTGACCACCAAATGATGACAAATGTTAATCAGTATAAATAATTTGCCCTTGCCCGAGCCAAAAACACCCCTCGGACCATCAACTCAATCAGGAACTCCCGCCGTAAAAAACTGCATTCCTTTGATGTTTCCCTACTACCCCAACACACTTCCCATCCCCAGGAATATTAACAACAACTTTTCTATCCTACAAGATGATCCCTCCATTGGGGCCCTCTTTTCTGACCGCCCCATCATCTCATATCGCCGACCGCCTAATCTGCGCAACCTTCTTGTTCACAGCTCCCTTGACAACCCTCAGCAACCAATCACACCAGGCGCTTTCCCTTGCAACAGAGCTAACTGTATCACCTGCAAGTACACATCTAACACCACACTCATTCAAGACCCCTCAGGACAATTCCAGATCACCCAGATGGCACCTTGTACCTCCAGCAACCTTATTTACTGTATCTCTTGCAGTAAATGCCTAGCCATCTACATTGGAGAAACAGGAAGGAGATTGGAGATAGCTTCAGAGAACATGTTAGGACTGTGAAGATTAAAGATTTCTCCAAGCCCATTGTTTCTCATTTCATTTTTGATGGCCATGATCACACTAATCTCTCCTTCAGCGTTCTCAAAGACGGTTTTCCGAACTCATACAGTACATCAGAAAGACTACAGAAACTAAAATTATCCTGCAGCTAGGTTCACACCTACCCTCCCCTCACCTTAACGACAGACTACTTTTCTTCTAAATTCTCTCTATTCATTGGAGGTTTCATTTCACACCTCTCTACACCTATCCTGACTTCATACCTCCTGATTGGCCACTCTTTCTGTCCCCTGCTCCCACCCCTCGCTCCTCCTCTCACCCAGCTTTTGTTCTCCAGCTACATTACCTTTGCTTACTGCCCTGTCTTTCTTACACCTGAAGAAGGCTCTCCGGCCGAAACGTTGTTTTCTTTCTTCTCTTTTCAGCATGGAGTTAACCAATTACTTGTTCCTTTGTAGTCTTACCAAAGCCTTCTACAACTTTTTTCTCAAAAGAGCTCCTCTTAAGCATGGTAGTGCCTGCTCCTGGTGGATAACTGACTGAAAAACAAAACACAAAAATACACATTTTCAGATGTGTCAATCGAAATGATCAATCCAACCTCCTGGGTGGGCACAAAAAATATCCAATGGATCTTCACTAGACATTTAGTGACAGGGAAAAAGTCATTCTGCATTTATCCAAGGTGATGTCAACTTAAAACACATTTACAGAACATGTACAGAAGCTACAAAGAGTGGCAGTGCAGTTAAATTATACTTGTTATAGTACATTATAACTGCAAGTACTGTATGGTTTAAAAGCATTTCCATCCACTCATCCATTTTCTAACCCCTTCATCCAACGTGCAGTTGTGCAGTTGTGGGGGGGGGGGGAGTTGAAGCCTATCCCAGCAAGCAGCAGGTTCAAGGCAAGTTACACCCTGGACAGGATGCCAGTCTATCGCTGTGCACACACACACAGGGCACTCACACCAGGGTCTTTTTTCTCAGAAGCTACTTAACCTACCCGTATGTCTATGATCTGTGGGAGGAAACTAGAGTACCCTGAGGAACCCCCCTTGAACCCAGAAGAATATAAAAAACACCATGCAGATAGCACCCCACGGATTCAAACCAGAGCCCCAGTGCTGCAAGGCATCAATGCTAAGCACCGCACCACCCACAAAAGCCTTTCCAACACAAAAAAAAATCATTCTCAAATATTACGTTAATGTTGCAATGCAAAAAATGTTAATGTTGAAGTATTCAGAATACTTTATCTAATGTAATAATTCTTTATAAAGTATTCATATATTTGATAGAATACACACCAATACATCAGATGTATTAAAATGGATTGCCTCTTAACAAGGCTTTGAAAAGATTTCAGTACTTAGGATGACTGGTTGTGGATAAACTATAAAAGATCTGAATTTCAAGATAGAAAAAAAAAATAGTCCAAAGCTTATGTCTGCTGGCAGAGGGGGTTATTACAGTATATTTGTAAAGTGAAACAGAGCAAGTTGGGAAACATACAGAATGCATGTTGTTCAAACTGAATCATGCCAAGAGTGGTGTAAAAATGACAATTTGTAATACTGGAACAGAATGAACTCAGTCCATTGCTTTTAGGCATTATTGCATAGCATCAAAAAATGGCAGAATCATTTGACGGCATCATATGCATAGAGAACAGAGGGAGACGGCCTGTGCAGTTCAGAACATTAAATTCACTGTAAACAGTCTCTGACTTACATTGTCTAACGTGCACTATAATGCTTGTGGATATTTGGTCTAATACTCATCTTAAATTTCACATCACCATGTTACATAAAATTACTCTCTCTCACCTCCCCCATATGAAACACTCAATCTCATACTCTATATTTGAAAAAAACATAAAGTGTTAGAGCTAAAAAATTACAATTATTCTTAGTGTAGACAACCTATGACAGGAGCGATTCAAGACCGTGTTTCTGAGCTTTTTGATACGTTAACAACAGAGAACTGACAGCTTAAGCTTCAAGGCTAAAAAGACACCATTCTTTGTCTGGGGAAAAATGATTCTCTTTTCTTCTTCATCTTACATGAATTAAAAAAAACTATTTTAATGTAATAGCAAGATCAGTTTTTTTTGCCCACAAATAATAACAATGCAGTGATTTATTATAATAATCGCTCACCAACGTTAACTAAGAAATGTTTCTTTGACTTACTAGGAAGCCTTATTATAGACATACTGAAAAAAAAATATTTTTCCTTATTCAGTTCACCCAGCCTTTGCTGACTTTATTTGGATTTCTGATCAGGAGCTTTCAGACTGCAGCTTTTCAACTATCCCACACAATGTTCAGAGGAACAATAAGCCATGGGGTGATCACAACAAACACAGTGTAAATGTTACGGAAAAGTGATAGTGCACTTAATTTGTGGCAAAACTGTCACCAGCAGAAAACAGTACTCAGTTTTTGCAATAAAGAACAAAGCACCTTTAAAAAACATTTCAATTATCCCTTTCCCCTTCAGCCACATTCTTATTCCATTTACTGGGCCTGAGGTGGCATACTTGCAGTAATCATACAGTATCTAGATGACAGAGACAACTTTAAGGCAGCTTATAAGTACCTTCTGTGATCTATTGAACTATTGTTAAGATAAAGGCTAGAGCAGGTATACAAGAAATACAACTTTTCACTTTTTACGGACATACAGTAAGTTATACTAGGTGTTTATACATTACTGTATAAAAATGCACTGGATACTGTATACTGCATTTATACACAGGTCAGCCAAATGCCACTCTTCTAGAAAAGCAATTTGCAACACCAAAGTTCTCCCATCATTGTCATCAGTAAGAATACATTGATGTAACTCAGCTTATTGTTTACTACTTCAGAAAGAGAGAACTATGGCCTCAGAAATATTTTTTATTTTACATTTTGGGGGTTAGATTTTTTTTTTTTTATGGAGAGTAATCCGATACTTCCCAAAGCCCTGTACATGTCATCTTCAGCTTCTAAGGCTGCTAGAAAAATGCATTAGGACCCTACAAAACTTTAATGAGCAGGGTTCAGGCTTTGTGTTAAATGACAACACTAGTTTTACACATTGTGCTGCGAGTCTGCCAGGCCTTGTATGATAGACTAAAGTAAGAAAGCTCCTAATCAGGGACCCTTTTCCTATTTTAGCAGCCCAGGATGGATTCTTCCAGTTCCTAATAAAGCCTATGAATCTGCTGCATTTGATTTCACTGCCACAGTCTGCTGATAGAGATTAAATCAATGGAAGAACAACAATACAGTATACTATATTATTCCTACAGTATATGTTCTCTGGCCTTGGAATCCAAGAGACATTACAGAATAGAGTGTAAGTTTATGAATGGACAGCCATACCCTGTTGTTGTGATGATGTTTCTGTGCTTTGCCAGCCTCACAACTGGATTTTGGTTGCATGCACACTGAGGCATGTCCCAGTACACCAGCTGGACAGTACTCCCATGAAGTAGAGCAGCCCTCTATGGCCAAAGGGTTTCCCCTTACTGAAGAGGGCTTCAATGCTGTTGGGAGTCCTAATAGGATCTCAGTAATGTTCAACACTGCAAGATCTGGTACATTTAAGCCAGGAGAGAAGCTGAGGTTTGGGTCGGTGTTTGGTTCATGCATATTTTCACAAACTGCATGGAAGTTGAAAATGTAAACGTCTTAAAAAAATTATGTTTTGTTTCAGAAGTTAAATGTCTTATGTGGTGAAGATACAGTTTTCTTCACATTTCTTCATCTTTTTCTTTGTATTATCATCTCTGCTTTCTGTGGTACTGTTTTCTGTATGAGATGGCGAGACAGCAACAGGGGTTCTGACATCACAACTATATGTCAAGCTTTATATGACAATTACTCCCAAGTATAACAGTGCTTTAGACCTACATAACTCGTACTGGTGACCAAAAAACACTTAACAATTTAAACAGATATTGAATAGAGTTTGTATCCAAATACTAAATCCTTTTTTCTGCTGCTTTTCTTGGTTGATTCACATCAAGCTGTGTATATACGTTGTGTCTCTCTGCCGCAGTTTCTGATTAGATTGTTTGCCCTTCGCAGCAAAGCATTAAAGTAGAAAAAAAATCATCTGACAAGATCCCTCAAGGCTGAATGTAAATTTGGGCTGCACTGAACACAGATGTTTCTGGTTAGTTTTCTGTAAGCTGTTATCTTGACTGACATATCTCAATTCAGTGAAGGTTATACTTTCGAATTACACAATTAGGCACTGCTGTGTCTACTGTCTACCAACCCTTTTCCTATTTAGTTTACATTAGATATTTTATATTACTCAATTATAAGCAGGTATATTTCACCATTAATGCTACCTGATAAAAGAAAGGAAGTTTTGTCTTTGAATTGAAGTGGTAAAATGAACCATCACTTCAGTCACCAAAGGACTCAATGGAAATTTGTGTATTTCGCACAGCCCCAGTATGAAGAGAGAAGTGAATTAAGAGCATTCAGGATGCACATCTCCATGTTTAACCAGTGGGCCTACAGCACAATGATGTTAATGTACTTCTATAGCATAGTTCCTTCCAATTAGGTCAAGGAAATATGATATCTGACACACTGATAAATTCTGTCTTAATTTTATCATTTTAGATTGGTAAAAACAATAATTTTAAGATGCTGTCATTTCCATACGTTTTCATTTACTGCAACCTCCTTAAAAATACTGGTTAATTATACTCAGGCACTTTCAAAGGAAACTGGCACTCTAAGTTCTGGCAGATGTTGATTTATGACAAAGAAATCTACTGGGTGGACCACTGCCTTAAAAACAGCCAACAAGTTCTGATAGGTTAATGCCATGAGAAACTATGGTGTTGCTGTTCTATAGTCACTCTGCATTCTCTACATGTTTGGAAAAAATAGATGTGCCAAGTAAAAATGGCAGGGAAACATGACTAAAGCAGACTAAATTACAAAGAATAGTAACCCATGCTGAACATAAGATGTGACAGCTGCATTACCTTATCTCTGTGCAAAAACCAGGATTGCACTGAAGTGCTAGTCCTACTACAGCGCCGTATTTTAAACTCAAACGTAACACATTTGCCACTTGAATGTAAATGTTGCTGGAAAACAAATGGTGCCAGAAGTCAAAACACCATAATGTCCACTATCCTAATTTTGGATCTCATTTTGACAAAACAGTGGTCTATGGACCAGGTATGATCTGCTGTAAGGTTGCAAAATATATTAAGAATTTCAAAGATAAAGATTGCAGAATTTAGATAATAATATGGGTTACTATACAAAGAACTCTTAAGTACAAAAACTGAAAAAAAGTGTCTTCATAAGGTGACAAAGCTGCTAACCCCATCCCTCAGCCCCTTTTCAGAACACAGCCTGACAATTTAGTGTAGAGACTGTGACACCAGTGTCTGCTAGTTTTCAAACCAGCTGAGGCCTCACTTAATCAAACTCTTAATTTAAATCACAGATTGCTTATTTGGCATTTTTTTAAAGGTTATTTACTAAAAAGGATGGAGATTAATTGCTAAC